ACACAGCTGGTTATCAAGAGATTTATCTGTGGCCTTTTCATCCTTTTCCTCTTCTTGACAGCTATTTTTCGGAGGTTATGATTTCATTATACCCACATAAAACATGCGTGAGAGTCTGGACCATAATATGACCAAAAAGATGTTATGTAGTGACTGCAAAAGAAATAGGAGGGGTTTGGGGTTTTTTTCTTTTAGCATCTTTCCTTATAATGAATGTTGTTATGTAAAAAGAGGAAAAGCATCTTCTCAAAGCCAGGTATAAAGCTGTGCCTCAGCGTAGGCAAATACATGTTTCAAGGTGTCCATATGAAGTGTAATGTCTGATGTCTCACCAGAAGCTTGTGTAAAGCAAAGGAGTTGAACCTCTGTTCCCTGGGCTGAAGATTAGCACCCACATCACAGAAATATCTGTCTTTGATGTTCCGAGTTTTAATAAACTCTTGAATTGTGCAGTGAGGTGTAAATACGAAATAAAAGCACATAGTTTTGATTTGCATAGCTAAAATTGACTTTGATAGAATTTGGTTTAAACATTATTTCTTTAACTAAAACTCCTGGCTGTTTTTAAAACATTTTTTTCCCCCTCCTGTTATTTTGATTAATCCTCTGATTACAGTTTGCTAAGACTTGATGCATAAGCATTTCAAATGTAATTTTAATAAGAGTCTCAAAGTATGCAGTTTTCCCTGCTACTGTAATAAAAGTCAGATATATGGAAGTTTTTTCTTTTTTTTATTTTTAAAGCTAATTTAAACCATAGAGAATAGATTTATTTGTATCTGTTGCTTTCTCTAAAATATTCAAGAAAAATAGGATATTAATTCTAAAGGAGTTAAATAAATGCTAACCTATCTCACTGAGCTGCTCATATTATTATTGGGCCAAATCTGGGTGTCTTGCCTGAGAACAATATATGTATAAGCTAACAGCTTAAGAATTTGGCCCATCGTATCTCTTCCCAAGCCATACTGTGATTCATTATAAACTTATATCATTGTCCATTTTGATGCCAATGGGAGGCTACAGATTTTTACCCTCTTAAATAATCTTGTTCCTGTGTGTGCTACAAATATTACTTTGTTTCAGATGTGTGCTGAAAGGGGAAAAATAATATTTGCAAATCTTCCCTGTCCAGAGGTCCTCTGGGTCCTCTTTAAGTAGAAGGAATGAGTAGAAAAAAGAGAAGAAGGAAAAAAAAGAAAAAAAAAAAAAGGCAAATTGTCTGATACCTGACTAAGCGTTAGGATCTGCTGTTCAAAACCCTGCACAAGTTTGGGAGGTGCCTGAACTTGGCATTCTAGAGGAGGTCAGATAAGAAAGAAATTACTGATCAGTATCTGTATGTTGTCTGCTATTACACAGAAGAGGGGGTGGGCAGGAAATGCAGTAAGAATTTATCTACGTGTACTTTTCAGTCACTGTATCCCAGTAAACTTTTTATTTAAAAGCTTGTTTGTCTGTCTGGATGTCTGTGTTGAAGATATTATTTTGTGGTTTTCTTTCACCATTAGCTTGGTTTTGATTTGATGGCATTTTTTACAAAGTGGGTTTCCAGTCCTCCGCTAACTTTTGCAAATATCCTGTGATCTTTCCCCATTTTGTCAACATCCTTCTGCATTTGGAAATCTCGTAACATAAAATTTGAGTAGTTTCTCATGAGCAGCTGATGCAGTGCAGCCATTGTTGTCTTCTTAAGGATCTTGAAATATCCAAGAATTGCATTAATCTTCCAAATTGTAGTTTCATGGGAAGGTCCACAGCTAGCAGAAAGCCTACCATGGCATCAAGACTTTCCTAATTCCATATTCACAGGGTAGTCTCCCATGAAAAAAAGTTTGTTCCCGTTGACTTGCATAGATGGCAACAGGTAGTTTGTTTGCATACAGGCAGTCTGTGGTGGTGTGGTTGGTGAGGTATTCTCTGTGTCATTTGCCCCTCCATCAGCCTTCATGAGCTGCAAGCTTCTTCTGTAATGATTTTAGATTTCAGATCGTTAGTTACTTTTCCCCCCATTTCTTCCTCTTATTTTTTCTCCTTGCAGCTTTTATCAGTAATTATTTTCCTCCTGGTCATTGTTCAATAATGTCATGCTTAAGAAATAAACCCGGCTGGAATACATTAGAAACATATCTTCCCAATGACAATTTCCTGTTTATAACTGCATCTGGAGAGTAATGTAACTAACTTAACTAACACTTTCTTTGTATTGCTTCATTCCCTAAATACAATGGCATGCAAAACTCAGTCAAATGCTTTGGCTAGTTTGACAAGCAGCATTTTTTGTAAAATCCATATTGATCATCATTAATTTCATCTCACTTGAATTCTCTAGTTCTTGACGTTTGATTTATGCCTTTTGAGAGTGGAGACGTGGTAGGGTCTTGTTTACCCTTTTTTTAGTATTGGCACAGAATTATCTTCTGAAACTTCCTCAGTGTTGTAAGACTTCTTGACTACTTGGAGCAAGCTTTGGCCAGCTGTTCTAAAACTTGTGCAAGTTATTCAGATCTACTTAATTTAAAAAGTTTTCATGTTGTAGCTGATCAGGACTCTGATGAGATAATTACAGTTAGAAAACTAAGCATTTTATCACTATTCTTAACATACACTATGGCTTTAACTCAGTAAAGTCAAATATTTATGCCTCCTCTTCATTGCTGCAAAGAAATGTTTGTGTGCATCTTGTTTATAAAGGGACATTTGCAAAAAACAGGGTTCACTCCCTATATATAGGGAGATCTCTACAGCTCTTTGCTGTAATCAAGCAAAGGGAGCCAACCACAGAACCCTGTTGTACTATGAAAAGGGACCACGTATGTCCTCAAAGTTTTGCCCAATAAAAGGACATAACCAAATTACAAATCAGAAAGGAAGGCTGATGGAATGGGCAGTATTGAGTAAATGTATGAAAATTATCTGAAAGACAATTTAAGTTTTATATTCAACTTGGGAAAAAAAAAAAAATCTGTGCTGAGAAAACATTGATTTGCCTATCATTTCTCTGTTTTTTAAAGCAAAGACCTAAGAATGAAACAGCTTAAGTTGGTAGTTATAAAATTTAAGTCAGATTTTTGGGGGTTTCTAATTAGTTATTTTTATTAAAGAAAAAGATTTTTTTTCCTGTAGTAAGCAGTAAGTCCTAGTAATCATCATGCACAAACCTTCATAAAATATTTGGCCAATGGTTGTGAAGCATGTGATACCTATAAGCTAATATGATACATTAATCAGTAATAAAGTGGATAGGTCATGTTACTGTATGAAGATTAATTATAAATTAATGCTTAGTTGCTAAAATATTCAATAAGTGTGCTTTCAAAATGAGGAATAAAATTGAGAGGAAGGGAAAAACAGGTTAATTATTTAGGGAGATTCTTAAAGCTAGTTAATACTTTGCCATGAACAGAGCCATCTACAAGCAAAATGAAATAAAATAGAGACAGTCATACTGTGTAAATCAGTTGAGTTCACGGGCATAGGAATAGAGGCAGAGCAAAAACCCAAACCCTCAACTATCACTTAATTAATTAATTCATTAATTAAAAGCAAGAGTTCAAGTAATTGTGGGGGAGGTATCACTTAGCTACAGCCGAGTACTTCACAATCACAAGGTAAATCAGGCCTCTGTCTTCCAGCACCTTCTTAACCTTCTTAAGGTAGGTTAGCACCCTTGTTGACATCCTAGAGTCTTTATGCCACTAAAAGTCATTGTCTTCAGTGACTTTTTATATAGTTTATTTGTACTGATGGTGAATTATGTGTTCAATTATACTTGAGTGGGAGCAAATTTGAGGACGGTATGTTCAAACATATAGCAGTGAAGCAGAGACTCCACTCCTCTGGCCCTCAGTTAGTCATTGTCCTTATTTATGCATTTGAAGATACCATTCCAGGCTGTCAAAGACTTGAGAGGAAAAGGGCTGATAACAGAGCAAAGTACAGAGCAATTCCCTATTTTTGCTAAGAAAGCTACCCAAATTCAGAACACACAGCAACATAGCAAATTTTGGATACTCTACTTATTCTATATGCAGCAATCATGAGAGAAAGACAAGACCTAGCTGCTAGAAAAGGAGATATAAAAGGATGGAAAATATATTGAATAGGACACATTACCCAACCCAGTCATAAAATGTTGTCTACCCATCATGTAGTGAATTGTAGCAAAATAAATCCTGAGAACGTGATAGAAGAGATCAAGTATTTCTTAGGTGTTGACAGCTGTAGTGCTTTCACACTGAGCCTGTTTAAAAGAATTGATTTCCTTAGAGGAACATACGGGAAGTAGTCCGTGCGTGTGTACAGAAGTGAGTGTAGAAATAGTGGGATGTGGAAAACACAGCGTTGTTCACTGCTCAACAACCAAGCAGTTGACAAACTGTCTGAAATAGTTCAGGTTTCCACTGTTCAAGAAATCTCATGCAAAAACTTAAATTAAGTGCGTAAACAGCAGGTAAAAGTTTCAGGAGAACCAGCTAAATAATTTTACAATATTTTTCCTTGAATTATAGGAATATTCTGTAGTGTGCAGTCAGAGATGCTGTTCTGTGCCCAGCTGTGACTTTGGGAATGGTTGGTGGTGTTTATGAACTTTTGGAAGAAGGAAGGAAACAACTTCAGGTGGAAGGAGTTGAGAGGAAATGAGAAGTAATTTAAGAAGTAAAGAAAGAAAACTTAGTATTAATGTGATTGCTGTTGTATTTTTCTTCTTATAGTTTGCAAGACATATCAAGAAATCTGAAGGCCAGAAGACACCCAAAGTTGAATTACAAATCTCAATCTATGGTGTAAAAATTCTCGATCCAAAAACAAAGGTAAGACACTGATAAATTTATAGTGTCTTACCTAAATTACATAGTATTAACTGTTTTTAATGTTTTTATTGTTTTATATTTTTAAAAAGTATTACAATGAAAGCCATTCTGTTGATGGAAAATTCTTCTAAAGTATCATTTCTTGTTCCAACACATGGGTGACATCTTCCCAGGAAGGCACATGATGCTCCAAAATACTGTAATACTGTAATAAGCTGTAGCTAATGTGGGATTTAGGTTTTTATAATCCTTTCACACCAGAACTTTTAAGTTCTAAGGAAGATGAAAACACTGTGGTAAATAAATGTTAACACCGCATGTGATAGACACCTTTCCAGATGATCACCGTTGTGTAGGTACCTACATGTAAGTGTGCGCAGGTGAATGACGAGACAGTTTGTTTGCCATGACTGCTTCTTCATGCTGCTGCTTTGGAATTGCACCTCTCTTCCCTTAACCTGTTCACTTTTTTCCTCCTTGTTTTTTAATTTATATTTATTTTTAATTGTATCCCCTCTCCCTAGAAGGCTTATGTTTCTCAAGTGCATTACCCATTTATTTGTAAATTTATGTAGCAGGTCATAAGCACTATTGTAGGCTTTTCATCTGGCACAGCATGACAATTCCTGCCTTTTCAGTGTTTAAGTCCATTGAGTCATCCCATGGATGGGTTTTCTGTTCCTTTGTTTGCTCTGGTATTTTGGAAGGGGTTACGTAGTAAGTAAAACATCCTCCTTACAGACTTCAAAGAGGAATAATGAGATAAATATAATCAAGCTAAAAAGTGTGTATTCAATAGTCAGCACTTCTTAACATCTGAGTGCTCTTAAATCTTTTATACATGTGTCGAATATTGTATTTGAATGAACTGTTTGTTACTGCTTCTTAATTGTGGAGTAATTGCTACCATTCAGACAGTGATACGGCCTTTTGGTAGCTTTAGTTCAAGGCTGTATCTGCTTGCAATCCATTTTTGCTTCAGACTCCTGATACAACCACAATTCAACAGTTCATAAGCAGAGGGGGCAAGAAATACCCATGTCACCTTTAATTGCAGTTTTTGCATCTTCCTTAGGTCATAGGTCAGAAATGGGTATTAAACCCCATATCCTGGCAAAAACTGTTTTAAAATAACAGTTTTGAATGCCAAAATATGTTAGTCTTCCTAACTCTTCCTGCAGAGATTAACCCAAAGCTGTGGGACAGAAGTTCCTGGGGGAATAGGAACATTCTAATCTCTTAGCAATGTTGTTATTACAACTCAAATGGTAATCATCTATGAGTAGTCTTTTTATCTCCCTCGCTTTGTTTCTTAAAGCTACATGTTAATTTAAATTTGAATCAAGTTTTCCTTCTTTTTGTACAATTTATAGATCCTTCAGGAAATTACTAAAATTCTGTGTTGTTATAGCTGATTACAATATTTTTTCCCTGAGTGTTTTTGAAACAAATCATTCAATATTTTTACAGAGGAATATTGGTTTATATTCATGTGATGACTGTCAATTGTGGTAGGAACAGGAGGTCTGTTTGTATACTTGATTCTATACCTGGCACTCAAAAAAAGTAGAATTGTAGAAAAGTGGTTCTGTGCTTAAATTGTATAAAGTATTTATATGGATCTATGAATCTAAAAGAGCCAGAACAAGGACGTGTTATTGTATGTAACGCTTAAAGAACTACAACAGAAAGAAATTAAATGTGTGAGAGATTTGTGGACATGGGAGAAATAGGATACACAGAAAAACCTCTGTAAAGACTGAGAAAAGGAACCCAGTTGGGGCAAGGGGAAAAGATTGCCCATATGGTACATGTTTTTTGATAAATAGCTGTGTGCAGCGAGGGCATGCCCTTGTTTATGAGCTTATAGCTGCACAGAAACTTTCTTTTTTTAATAGATAATATTTCACATCTAAACTGCATATTTTCCTTTAAAGCAAATACTGCTTTCCCATGCAATAAGCCAAATAAAATAAAATACCAAGAAGAGACTTGTTGAAAAAAAAAAAACAACAAAAAAAATAGTTTGTTTCAGTCTTGTTAAGCTCTCTCAGCTGAAGAGCATTGCCACTGCAACTTTTTAAAAAGCTGGAACATATTTTTAATGGTAAGTGAAATATAGTATCTAAAATATACAAATAATATTTAAAAGTTGTTTGCATTACATTTTAAGTGAGCAATTATTTAGCTGGTTTGTTTCTCTGTGCCCCTGTATTTGGATGACAAAGCAATTTTATTTCTGTTTTCTATATTTAAGATAGAAAAGTAAGGACTTATTTCAGTAAAACCATTTTAAAAACCCTGGAACATGATGAAATCTGAAGGTGGTATGCAACTGGAAAAAGAACAGAGTATTTTATGTAATCAGACCCTAAACAAATTGCATAGGGATGCAAAGCAACAGCAAAACCATTTCTGTAGAACAGAAATTACTGTCCAAATAAACACTGTCTAAATAAAAACTTCCTGTTTACATTGAGTATAAATGGGAACATTTGTTAGGAGATGAGTTTGCTAACTCTGTTACACTTTAAGTCCATTTTTGGGCGCTCTCATGTACAATGAGACACATTCAAAAATGTTCCTGCAACTTGCCCACTCTTTTGTACATGAAGAAATCCGGAGTTTTACTTTGTGCATCTTTATCCTAAGCAAGTACAGTAATTTCTTAAAAATAATCTTTATTTGCAGGAAGTCCAGCACAACTGTCAGCTCCACAGGATATCATTTTGTGCCGATGATAAAACTGACAAGAGAATATTTACTTTCATATGCAAAGACTCAGAGTCAAATAAGCATCTGTGCTATGTATTTGACAGTGAAAAGTGTGTAAGTATGAAAGAAGCTTTAAAAGAATGTGGGTGACTTAGGGACTTTGATTGCTCTGCTTTGAAATAAAACAGGAATGGTTAATAAAGGCAAATAGCCTGCCTGCTAACTGGGTCACTTTCATGTGACACATACAATCTTTCATGCTGATACAGTGCCTTGTAGCTTAGATGCATTAATTTGAAGGAGAGCCTTTTCCGTCGTTATCTAAGGTGGTTTTCTGGGACCATTCTTCTCACTACCCAGCTCAATATCCTAGGCCAGGCATCTGCATTGCTTTCAGAGAACACGCTGCATCCCACCGAGTTTGAAATGTTTGGGCAGCTCTTTTGCAGAGGTTGCTGCAGCCCTGTGGCTGAGATACCTTCACAGGCTCTTCTGCTGATGTGTCTGCCTCAGATTTTTTTAATTTCTTTTTTTTTTTTTACAGCAAAGTTCCCCATTCTCTGCCCACCCCCCTGCCACGTCTCTCAAGTTTGTTAATGCCATGATGCACAACCAGAGAATTCATAGCACCAACCACTGACATTCTCTCATGTCTGAGACAGAACAGGGCAACTGTTCAAAAATGTGCAAGAGCAGAAAAAAAAAATAATACTTTAGGACGGGAAATGAAGAAAATGGTGTCTAGCTGAAACAAGGTCATGTGTTTACTCTGGCAGAAAGTAATTAACAAATAAAAACACTGGAATCAACACTGAAAAAGTATGTTTAGGGTTTTTGATAATCTGGAGCCTCTCTTTTTGTTTTATTCTGAAGCAGATGAGATATCATACAAAGGAAATAGGAAGGAAACATTGTTTTCTTTTTTTCTTTTTTTCTTTTTTTCTTTTTTAGAAAAAAATGCACAGTCACTTCTATTTATGTGCAGTTATGTAGCATTATATGTTACTTCAGTGTTTCTGATTATTTTCTTACTCGCCTGCATTGCTCAAGTGCCTTCAGTAGATATTGCTCAGAACTGCTATACACATCTGTTCATTTCTCTTCAAATTTCTGTCCTGTGCCTCTTTGTCACACATTCCCATGAGTGGAAGGTGTCCCTGCCCATGGCAGGGGGGTTGGAACTAGATGAACTCTGAAGTCCCTTCCAACCCAAACCATTCTTTGATTCTGTCATTCTGTGATTTTAAATTGCCCTTACAGTCTCTGCACACTAGTACCATTTTTATTCCAGACCAATGTGCCGTTTCTTATTCTCTTTAACCTGATATTTCACTTGCTGTAGTTTTTTCCTTTATTCCACTCTTTGCTCATTAGTACTTTCAGGTTTCAAAGGATCCCACCTCAGTTGGTGCTTTTCATTTCAGCCAACCTTCATCTGTCCAATATAGGACAACATACGCCCAGTGGCCATTACACTTTTCTTTTACTAACACAAACAGTTATTCTCTAAACCAGTCCTAGTTCAGGTTTTTTGGTCTAATTCAGTCTAATTTGATTAAAATATTTTCTTGGTGGTTGGGGGGGTGAGGGGGGTTGTTGTTGTTGTTTTTTTTAAATAAGGTGGCCATATGTTTGGGGTTTTTTTTCACAATAGTAAGATGGGGGAGTTAATTCCCCATTTCTGTAAAACTCAGGTCTTCACATACCTCTACTGAACGACTTTACTGTTGCACTGATGGATAAAAGGCTGGGAGCAGCACATTCTATATGATTTTTGTGCATCCAGCCCTTCATGTTCTTATAGGTAGTGAAGCAAAAACACTTTTGACATTGAGCAGAATGCTCTGTTTTCATGAGAAACAAGCAATTTCAGGTTTTCATTTCAATAAAGAGGAGAAAGTTGTAGTTTAGCTTTAGCCAGATTAATGTTTTTTCAGATTGTTTTTTTTTTTTGTTCCCCTGACAAATTGTTAGAAACAAAAAAAAGTTCTTACTGTGTTTACTTTTTCTACTAAAGTTCTAAGGCCAATGGCATATCCTTATGTTCCCCTTTTATTGGTGCCTCAGCATTTTTTCATTAAACCTCCGTGTGCTCAATCAACTTCTTGTACACTTATTTTTACCATTGTTATTTTTAAAGTAGATTTTCTATATGAATTGTTTATACACATAAAACATATGGTGTGAATCAGCATAGAACTACTAAATTAATATATTTTGCACATAAAAATGTGCATTCTATTTGGTTTTTGGTATTTTTGTAATCAGAAGTACTTGCACAGGTAAATACATTTATGCAATGCTGACTGGAATATTATAGGATTTCTGAAAATAACTTGAAAATAAATTTAAAAGCAATAGAGGTCACAACATCCATTAATATGGAAACATTAACTCATGAAAATTAAAGCCATATATTTAATGATAGAAAAGCCTATATTTGCTTCAGAAATCACCAGAAAAAGACACACTGCAGCATGCCATTTGTATTTATAGAAATTAAGAACGTAATTTTTACTAAAAAATTTGCTAATTGTTTTCTGCGTGTTCAATCTCCCTTCTTTATCTGAAGTATTTTTAAGTTGCTTTCCTAGCATTTTCTGTCTGGGTATTTTACTGAAGACTGTTGTCCATGCTTCTTTGTGGTGTTGACTGTGTGATGGATGAAACAAACCCTTTGTGCATGGTACATGGTGTAACATATTTCCTAATCATCTGAAATGAAAACAATTCTATAAAATATTCTTAATATGCTAATTTCAGTCTTATGTTTTATGTAAAGGCAGAAGAGATAACTTTAACAATTGGTCAAGCATTTGACTTAGCTTACAGGAAATTTCTGGAATCTGGAGGAAAAGATGTTGAAACAAGGAAACAAATTGCAGGTTTACAGAAAAGAGTAAGTTCTGAACTACATTTTTTAAAGAGATGAAAGAACATGCTACTGTATATGTGCTACCTGCTTTCTATGGCAGCATAATTTACAGCTTTATTCTTAGGTTGCTAAGAATTGCAACAGATACTAAATGAAAATTTAAAGAAGACCTGATAACTGTGAAGCAGTATTATATTTTTTGCTATTTTGCAAGATTGTTAAAGAGCAAAGCAAGGTTGAAATATGAAAGATACAGAAATTTAAGTTTAATTATTTTTTGTAATCAGAAAACTAGTTAAACATTGTTTCTTAATCACCAGATCTCAGATAAAACTTATTCTCAATGAGTGTTGTTGTTGAAATGAATGAATATCCCAATAGCTGTTGCAATAACCACTTGCTTTGTAGATTCAAGAATTAGAAACTGAAAATACAGAACTGAAAAATAAAGTTCAAGATTTGGAAAACCAGTTAAGAATAACACAAGTACATTCATCTCCAGTAAGTACATGAACATAACTCATATCTGAAGTTACTTTAAATTTATAATCATCTGTTATGATAATTATTAGCATCTCTGCTGTTTCCAGTGATTATGATTAACATACAGTGATCATGTAACATATCTGTTGAAATGCAGTATTGAAGTAACAGTAAGATTGTGACAAGCCAACAAAAGTGCAAATTGCAGTCTCTCAAATTGTGGTTCTTTAATCCCTTTGTCCTACCTACTTGTGCTGCCTAAAGACAGTAAATACTCCTTTTAGTAGACATCTAAGGATGAAGAACTCTGTTCTGCACGTAAAGGATCTGTTTCAAGAATGCTGCTTTGAATTTTTCTGGCAAATGTCTGTCACAAGCATATTGTCACTTACAACTGACATTTTCTAAATGGCTTTTTACAAATTTTGTCTGTCTCTCAAAGGATTCATTAGGTCCAAGGAACTAACACGGGTGGGTAGGTAACAAGGAGCAAGTACAGGTTCCTCATCACTGGGAATTTCTCACGCTTTCTGCTATTCTATAGATGATCATGACAAAAGTATTTGTAAACGCCTGACTGACAGGTACTTACATCTAGGCAGGACCTCTAAAAATGCAGGCTGCATTGCAAACTGATCTTAATGACTCTCCTCTTCTTACAAGTGTATTCTATCTGTACAGCATTGGGTAATTGTGAAAATAAATAAAACTCCTTAAAGTATGTGTAGCAAAATCCTAGAAGAAGATGGACTGCCTTGTTCCTGCCCTGGATGTGTGCCATGTCACTTTAAATGGGTGTTTGGAAATTTGGGCAATGTAAAAATATGCTCATAATGGTGATGACAATTTTTCAGCAGTGTCTATACAGTCCCTTGATATTGCTTAGATAGTTGTTCCCATGAGGAAAAATTAGTTATTTCATTGTACTTAGAGGAGAGAGCACTATAAATTATAAACACAGCATAACTACCACAGTGAAAGTTGTGAGTTAAGAACGTCTTTTCATTTATGAAGCATTCAGTGAAAGGTAATCAACTTTAATGCTAGATTTAAAATCAATTTACTCAATTCTTTAATCTTTTCTTTTCCTTAATTGAGGTGGCAGCTAGTTTGTTTTTATTTATGAGTATAATAACTAGATGTATATTTGAATTCAACTAAACAGGCTTTTAAGTCCCTTGTGATAGATGCATTTCTCCTTCATTTACATTAATGAAGAATTTAGTAATTGCATTTAGCAAACAACTTAAAGAAAATTAATAATAATGAAAAAAATCTTGTAGCTTGTGATTTATTTTGTCTTTTAAGACAATGGTGTCTCATTCCTTATTAAAGAGCTAAGATCTAGATTTGTGAATTTGCCAGCCATTTGTAAATTCTCTCCAGAGATGGTGTTTTATTGTTAATTAGTATTGGTACAGTGAATATGTATATCACTTAAGTAGCACTTATGCTACAAAAAATATATAATATTGATAATTATTCATATTAAAATATTAATTCATTTTAATAAATCACTACCAGCTATTAGTTTTCATGTATCATTTTATTGCTTTATTTACTACTTAATCTATTTTAAGAAAAAAACCACAAAGATTTCTGGTCGCAAATTTCTGAGTTTCCTCATTATTAGAATTGCAGTAAGAGCCATCTAACAGCCTATTTAGTATCTAAATTTTATTTAGATCTATATAAATGAATAAATACTGGAACACATTGCCCAGAGATGTTGGAACTATCTGTGCTCTTGGAGATACTCAGCACTTCCCTGGATGTAGCCCTCAACAGCTTCAGCTAATTAGATCCTGCTCAAGCCGGAGTTTGGATTAAGCTACCTTCCTCTTATATGATTCTTCGATCAGTTGTGAAGCCAACAGTAAAAGAAAACAAATACATAAACACATATATTTAGGAAGTGCTAAATAGGAAAGTGCTTTTCTCAAATCTAGGAACATAACTGTATCCATCAAACATTGTCAACTTTTGTACCTTGCCAAGAGACTTCGTTCAAGCAGGTCTGTTTTAAACTAGATTGTGTACATTGTAAACCAGAGCTCTTAATTGTGCTGGCATAACAGCAAGTGCATAGAAATGAAACAATTGGGTTGAAAATAAATGAAGGAATGGAATAGTGTTTATGAATAGAGTTTATGAAGTGACTTCAGTGCAGGGAAAAGGAAGCATAAATATTTTTAATATGGTTTGAGTCCAATAAAGGGATCATAAGTCAAAGTGCCTGGAATAGCAGCAGATGTGATTTGATGATACCTACCTCTTTTACTATGTGAGTAACAAATACGTGTGAAAGGAGGAAATTACAAACAATTCATAAGACAATAGATTGCCTGTTACAGTTTGCAATAAATTTTATACACTTCTAATTCAAATCAACTATAATTTCAAACATGACTTTGCAAAGTCCTAACTCCTGTTATTAAAAACCAGAAGTGGCATAAAGGCTATTTTCCTCTATTTCCACATAATTTCTGTGATGAAAAAGATCACTTTACTTTTAAAAAATATTAGAGATTCTTTTTTGATGAATTAAAATTTTAAACTTTTTAGAACCATATTGTTAAAAATATCTGTACTACTGCTGCTCGATGTTGTCAAATTTAGAGAAGAAAAATAGCAGTTCTATCTTGTGATCATTGTGTTACAGTAAAATTTTCAAATCTGCTGACAGTAATTTATTAAATACTAAAATAAAATCGCTTACATAAATCAAGTAGAATGTCCAACATGGGGAACAATACCGCATCTGAGTGACTTCCCAAGCACTTTCGATTAGATGTGGGAAAACTTCCTTCCCTGCAGATATTCTTTGCGTTACGTGCTATGAACATCACATAATAATTCTCATTATTTAAACAGGTTTATTAAACTATAAATTTTAGATTTTCTCACAGCTCTCATATCCATGCTATTGAATTATAAAGAGGTGCCAGTGCCATATGAGAGCTTTCTGAAGCTTTAAAATTTTTAGACATATGTTATTTGATTTATTTATATTTAGTTAATTTGATACAGCTGTAAGTTCTTATCAGTCCAGTTTGATGTTATTCTGTGTGCTGAGGTCTAGGGAGGGACCGTTCAATGATCAATAGAAAGTTTAAGCCCTGATACTTGATACCTGATATGATAAAAGTACATGTGCCGTTATCTATCACAGTAATTTGTAAAGAAATGTTAGGTTTCAGGAGCCAACTACAGATGGTTATAGAGTTGCTTCTGTTCATGCTTAAATAGTAACTTGGATTTTCATATTTATGCTTTCCTTTTTGTACTTGGTTGTTTGCATGCTGTTGGTACCTTCTCAACATTTGCCAAATGTGCTGAAATGGCTTTCCTGTCTGAGAGGTTGTTGACTGTGCTCTTCCTATAGTGATTAATGCGTGGTCACAGAAACACTTGATAATCAGCAATTCATTTGGCACTTCAGAAGTCAACACTAGCAACTTGATTAAACAAGTATATAGTTAAAGCAGCAGCAGATGTTGCAAGGGCCTGTGATGACAGTTCACAGAACATGACAAATATAAACACTGAAATTGCGTTATGTCCTCTTCTCCTTCAATCCCCATCCCTATGGAAGGGGGACCACAAGCCATGCGGTCCAGGCAGGCATAATTGCAGGCTGACAATGGGTATGTATTTTCTTTCCCCATGAGAGAAGGTTTAGGAGTATTAGTGTTTATTGCACCCGTAGTGTTGTTACAGACACCAGGTGACGTCACCGCCATGCTTTATTTGTTAAAATACTGATCTAGGTCAGAATGTCTTTCCCACTTGTCAGTAACTGAGAAACCATTTGTATGCCACGCCAGTCTATCATTTCTTTACTCATGCTTCTTCCTTCTGAGGTTGATTGATTTTTGTTTAATTTCTTTAATTATTCTAGACACATTAGTCTTCCCTTTAATTTTTAATGAAATTAAGTAGGTAGAAAATACCTTCAGAAATTAGAATTTCAGGGTTTTTTGTATTATTTCAATGACCCTTGACACTGTTGCGTTTTTTTAAACAAACAAACAAAAAAATCCATTTCTGCTTTTTCTGACAATGAAGCTAAAGCTCAGGTCATCTGATTCCCAGACTGTTTTCCCATGAACAGGACCAGATTGCATCTCCTGTTCTCACTTCAGTATCAAAAAGACAAAAGAATCTGAGAGCATCTTTGAACTGTGGATGGATACCTTATTGTGTATATAGTTTTAAATGTTTAGCTCATTGCATATTTGGAAAAAAAATATCTAGTCTCAGCATGCCTCAATTCTAAGTAGATACATCCAGACTGTCATTTAAAATAAACTTTTCTAACTTCCTGTTGTCATTTAAAATAGCCTTGCTAACTAAATATGAAGACATACATAAAGCCATTTGCTGGAATTCTTACTCAGGATCAAATGTAATATTATCAAGACTTAAAATTCAGATTCCTCTTTTCCTTCCAATATGTTTTAAAAATATTTTGTCTATAGTTTATCAAAGATGGCACTTTATATATGTGATGCTCAAGAACAAATTAGGCATACCAGGCTGGACTGCAATACGGGACTTTACTGACAGATTCATTTCTCTAAAAGGAGTCAGTCATGTGTTCACATATTGAACTCTTGGGTAATAATGTAGAACACTTTATTTCCAAAACATACTGCTAAAACACCTTAATTTGCTGATCTCTGACATTAAAATCTATACAAAGAATATTATGCATTGTGACTTATCCAAAATCCATTATTGTTCTGAGAAGAACATGCAAGCAGTGAATTGTAAGCTGAAGCTTCATTTTAAGCACAGAATTAAAAATATTTTGGATGATTGGTAATTAATTTCACATATGAGATAATGTTTTTCTAACTGAAACTTCTGTTACTATTTTTTTAAATTACATGCTTTTTTAGGCAATAATAATTAATTGGATTATTAGGATATTTATTGTGAACCCTCAATTGCTCTATTTAAAAAAAAAATTCCACTCACATATGAAAATTGAAAATAATAATTAAAAAATTGGGGATTACTTTTCTCTCTGCAGTTCATAAGTAGTGCAAGTTATAGGCTTGTTTGGGAAATACAGAGGCAAATCTAATCTAAAACGGCTTTCCTGATTCATCTTGCTTGGATTGCAGATTTTTTGCATGCCGTGTAAGGGTTTATGTGGGGATGTATTTTAAAATACTGGCAGACTGAAATGGGTGCAAACTGTGCATGAATAATGCAATTATGTCCCCTTTACATTTTTGCAATGTGTAAGTGGGTGCAAAGCATTGACAGCAGTAGGCTCCTGCTTTTTAGGGTTACATTTGCTGTCCAAATTATCTTGTTGCTTGGTTTTTAGTATCGCTATGAAAAGTTTTCTGTGGCTGTTCTGAATCTAGCCATATGGCCAAATCAACATCAATCTAATTTAGGTGCTTTTTCCTATCAGTATATAAACTGTATGGGAAAAATAAAATTTCTTTTTGAACCTATAAAAGAAGCCATTAAAAGCAATGAGATCATAGTTGGAAATGAAAAAAAAAACCCAAACAACAAAAAACTAGGTGGTATAATCTAATACTTTCACATAAAAGGTATTGTGAAAGTTGAACATGAAATTATCAATCTTCTGCACACTTTTTCTTTCAGAGTGTTGTAACTCTTCAGATTTAGGTTTGTTCAGCACATTCAGTAACTAATAAACTGCTTAGTGATTGTTTTTCTACTTTGGGTTGATGTTTTTAAATACGGTAGTCTTGCTAAAACTTTAAAAAGTTAGTCCCTAAAATGTCTGTCTTTGCTACTGCAGAAGCGTTACACAATAGAAGCTGTCACTTTTTTCTTTTCCTGAATGGATCTGTCAAGCACACACTATACCAAACTAGGAGTTTTCTTTAGCCTTTATAGCTGCATTTCCATGTGCCATGGGAAATGTTGGCATGGATGTTTCTTTTGTCTCTCACTCCTTTGCACGTACAGCTAAAGTTTCCATTACTCCTATATCTGTGCTGTTTACTTTTCATCTCTTTTAGTGGCTTGGCAATACATTAGTCACTGGTCGTCTTTGCATTTGGTCTTGATTATATGAGGACAATCTGATTTTCATTTTGTGTTTGCTTGTGATGACACTGCTCAAGTGTGTATCATGGTAAGACTTCAGATCCTGCTGCTATGTATGAATCCAGCCTCCAAAGATCAGTGCATCCCTGGAAGTGCTGTTTCCTGTCTTTTTTAGCTATTTATATCACTACTGTTGCCTAAAGCAGCCCGAGTTAGCTGTACACACAGCCTTCGTGTGGGTTAGTAGTTAGACAGCACCCTCAGTTTTTCTAGTCCACTGAACAGTAAAGCATTGTAGGCCATGAAGGAACTTCTGATAAGAGAGATTTTTAATCTGTTTTGGGCTTAGCTGAAGTTTATCAGCCATGCCTTTAGGGTTTTCTCTTTAAGCACAAAGGCAGAGAGGAAGTTGTGACAACTGCATGACTCTGAAGCTAGACAGAAGAAAACAGGAATATTCAGGAAAATAACTTAAAAGAGAGAATTACAGAATTTAAGGGAAGCAGAATTAAAAGGCAGGAGGATAAAGTATTGGGAGAAACAGCCCCAAAAGGAATGGTTTTCTTCCACTCACCATTAAGTATTGTCAAATAAGTAGTATGTAATATGTGTTCGTATCATGGCAGTGTGGCAAAAACCCCTCCATTTTTAAATGGAGCATTAAAGGTACTGATTGATTAAACCTTTTTTAAAAGTTTGGGGTTTTTTTAATTGTGACGTAGAAGCATGGGCCACCTGCACCTTTTTCCCCTATTAAAATGCTTTAACATGCTCATGAGAAAACCTCAAGACAGATGTTGGAACTGCATGCATATTTCAGAAAACAGTTTTGGAATGTGCTTAGGCATGTCACTGGATTAAGACTGGAAAGGGGAAAAAGCACATGTTTTTTCTTCATTTATCTTCTACTCTTTCAATTTTATAATATTCTGTATTCAGTGAGCATTTCTTCATAGAGATCTAAAATTCTATTATGTTTGTGATATTAAAAGAAAAAAATTGAAGTTGCCAATGTCAGATTTCATGTAACTGAAAAAGTACTGAATGAACCAGCGGTTCGGTGTGAAATGTCCTGAGATTATTGCATGTCGGATAAATGGGATTGCTCAGTGTTCAAGGCTCAAATGATACAAATAGTGTATGTTCAGTTTTTGAATAAAAACCTTTCATTGCCTGGATTTGATATATGTTCATCATCCTCATAGTTTTGCTGCTTTGCATCCTATATGCATTTTGCTGGTTTCTCTGTCATTTTTCAAGTGATAGACATGCTTTCTTATGGAAGCTATTCATCCTCTGCCGTTTTGCATTTCAGGGAAATATTTTGCTTCCTCATGTTGACTGTTTGTTTTTAGTAACTTCCAGTGTTTACTACTGCGAGATGTACTTTTTTCTGTATATCTGTATAGCAGCAAGTATCACATGGTAGGAATTACACAGTAGCATGGCAAGTCTTCTACCTGTAGTCCAGGGATAATCTTGAAATAAAAATCAAAATTCTATGTCTTGTAGGTTTTTGCATTCATTTTTATTGATTGCAGTTCCAAATCTGCTGTTTCGCAGTTCTGGCTTGGCAACAGGTGAATTCTTTGCAATTGCAATAGAAACTTTTCTTTTTTCTTATGAATTGCAAATTTTGAGTAGAGAGTTTTGTGGTGTTTGTTGGTGTTCTCAGAGGTATGGCATTGTTACTAAATTTGGATACCTGCACCCTTAACCTTTAAAAGGATTTGAAATGTTTTGCTTTCTACAGAACTCTGAAAAAAATTGTTTAAAATCATTAATTAAATCCTGCTCTACTGCAGTTATGCAAACTTCTAATGAAATAATCATGTCATATCAATTGTGTAAGACTATATGAAGAGAATGAAAGCAGACTTCAGAATTTTTGCTGTGCTCAGCCTGGGCAAGTCGGAGGGTTTTTTAGGCAAGATACCTACAGCACAGACCCAATTCCTGCCTTTGCAGTGTATAAACTGTTGACTCTAGCCAAGAAGCACTGTCTGCACAAGTGGTCAGTCCCTTCTGTTAAGATTCAAAGATTAATCTCTCCTCTAAAACCTTGTTTTAACTGTCCAAAGTTGTTTTCCTCAGATTTTGAGGCAGGGATTACAACTTGGCCCAAACAGAAAGATTGGTTGGGCATGTTTCTTAAATCAAATATTTAAAGACATTCCCTTTTTGCTTTTCTTTCTGGGATCAGTCCTAAAGGCTCTTTGTTTCTAAGTTCACTTAGACAAAATCCATTTCTTTTGAAACCTTTCAGGATTGCAGATACTTCCAATTCAGGCAAAAATTAAGGGGTTTTTGTTTTTATCAAAACTCTAAGCGTCACTCTTGATACACAGAGAATCTTTCTGGAATATGCACTGAAATACTCCTCAGTCAATATGAGGCAGCAAGCTTCAGGTTCTTGTCTGCCTAATTCAGACCAGAACCTTGCAGTTGCCACTTTGTCAGCTTAGGTGAGTGCTCTTACTGTCTGTATTCTAGTGTGGATATTACTCATTTGGCTCTGTTCGGAGCTGTTCTGTGGATTTGTGAATAGTTACAATCCTCAACATTTTTACTTCCCCAGCAGCAAAGTTTAATTCCATCCTACATCCTGTGCTGCTGTTGTAGGGACTTGAGGATTCCTTTGCTTTGCAATGATGAATCTCAGCTTTTGAGATACCTACTGAAAATACCAACTTCAATTAGTTATTAATCCACACAGAAAAAATGGCAGAAGGGTATTTATTATATATAAATGTTTAGGTTCTCAAATTCTATGGATGAGGAAATGAAACAAAGTCTAGTGTTAATGCAAACATTAAAATTTGTACACTGTGAGCTTCTACTGTAAGGAGATTGTAGTTAAATAATTAAATTTTCTTTACATTTTGGTGGGATATAAATGGTAGGTGTTTCCTGGCTTGGAGAAAGAAAATTCTGACCTGTGCTTTAACCACCAGAGTAACTCTGCTCCTCAGATATATGTTTACCTCTTAATTTGCATGTGCAGAGATGACTTATTGCCAGTATGTTGGTGGATTTGGGCATTTGTCAGTGCATCTGACATCCATTTTTGGAAAGATGCCTGTCTTCATTTTGTTTGGTGTAATTATCAAGGAGCAAGTCTTCATTCCAGTTAATACTGGGCTACCTTTTACTGTGGTATATTATTAGATTTTGTTTTTAAATATTTTCAAGTTCTGTATCTTGTAACTGTGGCACTGAACAGCAAATTGCTGACAAACTTTTGTGAAGTGTGAAGTGTGGGTTTTTTTTCTTCTTTCCCTGACATTACCATGTTCTGCTCCTCAGAATGTTTTCTCTTTTCTGTGATTCCTTTTCAGCTGCTGCACATAAAGTGTGATAATGATGAACACATGTTTCAAAGACCCTCTGCTTTTTTCTGGTGTAACAATGAGGATTCACCTCCTTGTTTAGATATCTCTTCCATTACGCTTACTCCTAGGAGTTCTCCTGACTCTAGACTACCATCTGGATTGTTAATACCACCACCTTCAAAAAGTGGTCTTCCAAAGCCAGCCAGTGAATACAGCTGCCCAAGACCTCGTGTAATCCTGCTGTGCAAAAGCTTTTTCAGTTTTTCCAGCTTTCCTGTGTTCTCTGTTGTGTATTAACTTGTGTTAAAAATGTGCATTTTGTACAGTGGTTAAAGGACAGAGCAGGTATATCTTAGACTCTCTAGGGATACTCTTAAAATATGGAATTTGCGAAATTTACTCTTATTTCTACATAGCTTTTTCTCTCCCACCCCCAAAACATAAATTCTTATTTTCCTAACATGTATAAATTAGTTCATTAATTAATTACCTCTATGTTATCTCTCAATCTTTTTGTTAAAATTCTTTATAGTGAAAATAGTTATTCAAAACAAGGAATTCCAGATGTCCAACTTCAAGGCCTCTCCCCCTACCCTGCCATGAATTAATATAAAAGCAATCAAGCACTAAATACCTTTTAGCATACTTCATAAAAACTCTGTGCAAAATGAAGGTTGAAAATTATTCTGAAATATGAAATGGGCACATTGCCTGCTTTTTCACAGCAATGTGCTTATACTCTCAACTTTTCTTCCATTTGTAAGTAACATTTGGCTGTATTTGGCAAACATCATGGCTTTTTGCATGTGTTCACTAAATAAAAATGCTTCTTGTGCTTGTATGTATTCAAAATACACATTTCTTAAAACAACTAAAGTACAGTTTTACTTAGACTAGTTGTCTCAATAGTATCAAAATGGCCAGTAACTTCAACAAAATGACATAGGGACAGGAAATGGCAGTGTAAAGTTTGGGTTTGCTTTTCTGCCTGAAAGGCTCATTTAAGACTAAACATAAATACTGTTTGTTTATTTATCTAGCTTCTTGGTAGCCATAAACACTTAGCAAATAAGGAGTATCTACATTAGCATTTACTGTCTCCAAGACATTCTAGGACTATCCATCAGTGTTGATAGGAAATGTAGGTTAATATATGGCACATAGCTACGCATTAAACCTGATGCCACCTGATGCAGACAAAACCCATCTACAATCAGAGAAAGTTTTGTTTGTATGAAGAACAGGAGATGAGATTCATTGTATGTTTACTTTGGGTCAAGCACATCCATTGCCCTGCTTTGAGTGGGAGCAGCTGACATCTGGTGATCTCCCTGACCAAAATTATACTGCTGCTCTGATGTGCACAAAGGCACCAGGAGGTTAATGCAAGGTCCACGAACATAGCAGTAAGAGCTTATTATGTCTAAACAGTATGGACTGAAATCTTTTCACAACAGATGATCTTTAAAATTGCAGTGCTAACTCATGTTGAGGTTCGTAAGAGTTCTGTATGTGTAAAAATCTTTAAGATTAGTTATTTTATGAAGTTAATTCAGCTGTGGTCTTGCCAGGGAATAACGTGACTGAGAGATTTATTTTTTTTAATAGAACAACAACAAAAACATGTTAAATGTGGATTTTTTTTTTTTTTTTCTTGGTATATTTCAGTATACCTAGGTAGAAATATCCTAGGTTTTTGGAGATACTGGACTCTTACAGATCTCCTATAGAACTATAGCTCTCTCCTAATCAAAATTTAAAATGTTAATTAAAAACTCCTAAGAAACGGGAAATGTAGGGCTTCAGAGTCTAGTTTTCTCTTTAAACAGTGCGTTCAGTGGAAGACTGGATCGATTGATATCCTTTCCTTCTCAGCAGCCACTGCAAACTCCAGATAGAAACAGAAGGTAGTTCAGGGCTACCTATAGACTTGGCTTAGAAATCTGTGGCATGTTCTGTCAGAGGGCAGCTTCAGTTGCTGCAGCAGAGGCACTAAAGAAAGAAGCATTCCAAAATAATAAGGTTTAGGTTCATGAAACTGTCATGGACCAGCAGTACTAAAGACTTGCCAGGTTGTTGTATTCATGTATTCTGAATAAAAGGATCCATGTGACTACTTTAACTTATGCTTAAAAATTTTCATGTGAATATTTTGGTCAAATTGAATCTTACTGAATCAAACTGAATCTTACTTAAAAGTAGCACAGGCTTTCCCTGTGCCTGGCTGTATAGTCTTTCTAATAGACAGAATGCAGGGGGGTTTGTGTTGTCTAAGTAATAACATTAACAGGCAAACTAGGTCTGCATATATATTTTGGCTTCAGCTTGTCTATCTCAGTTTTAATCTATTTCATCATCTGTCTTTAGTGTTCAGTTTGTTCTGACTTGACTGTGCCTCATTTGTGACTTGAAGTAACGGACTGACGGCAGGAGGAATTAATAATTTAAAAATAAATATGGCTATAGAACAAAAGTAATTGCCAGCTTTGGGGTTTCATTGCTTATCCAGTATTTTTTTGAACTCTTCCAAATTCCTGGGTCTTACTACTGAAATATCTTCTGTTGCATGTTCAAGGATGAGAGTTTTATTTTGGATATTAATATTCAGTATATTGCATATGTAGGTTGTTACTTATGAAAAAGTACATTTGAAGCTTTGATCACACCAGGTTTTTTAGGTTGTCAAATAAGTGATCATGTAAGGAAGAATTAGTAAACAAGAAATATTGGGATTGTATCTTTTAATTTCAGCTACTTGTTCTGTGCACTCCGGAGCGTAGCATTTTGTTGTTGCAGTATTACCTTCAATGGGCCATGTCAGTGTTCATCCGTCTGCAATATAGAACTGCTTGTCACCAGCTTTTCAGGTTTAACTGTGATACATTTCTGGCTGTACCGGATGGACTGAAAATGGAAAAATTACAATGCTGCTTATGTATTGGAGAGTTTTAGCATGTCTCAGACTCTGAACTGCAATTGCTGTTTGCTTGGTGTCAGGAGCTGGTTTTTGCATGCTGATGGTTATTTTTATCTTTTTTGAAAATGTGGCTCTTAATCTGCATGCTGAAGAATTCAGTATTGTGATCTTTTTCATGTGAAATATTGCCCTAATATTTATTGTCCTTATTATAGGCAGGCAGTGTGACACCTAAATCACCCTCCACTGACATCTTTGATATGGTTCCCTTTTCTCCCATATCCCCTCAGTCATCAACACCTACTCGCAATGGTACACAGCCTCCTCCAGTACCCAGTAGATCTACAGAGATCAGTAAGTTTTGTAACAACTGACCTGTTTTTTACTTACATTCTATTTTTTTAATAAAGCATCTTTAAAGGTTTACACACCTCTTGCATGAAAAGCCAAATACAGTTTTTGTAAATCACATTCAATAATGCCATTTCATTTTTAAACCATCTTCCCAAACTCATTGATGTTGCTGCCAAGTTACATTCTATACAGATTTATTTACTTGCTGAAGCTATTACATAAACAGTTTGAAGGAGTTTGGTTGGGGCTTTTAACCTGGCTTTTCTTTTACAGTATCTCTTTTGTAATTACTTCAAGAAATATTTTTACTTCCTGTTAGTTCTTTCCTTGTCAAGCCACATTTGTAGCATTTAAAGCCGACGTTTCTGGGGATGACAGCAGGTGGAGTAAGTATGGTGACAATGAAGCAGAAGAGAGAGCTGAAGAAATCCCTCAAGATGTAGACTGTCTTAGAATACTGTTTTTAGTAATACTTTTCATATCATCTACAGCTTTGTGTTTCAGTTATAGTTGATGAACCCCTCCAGATCTGTGGACCACTCCTAAAAGATCTTCCAAAGATTGTTAACAATAGCAATTTTATTTTCCAAAGGTTTGAAAGCAGCTAGGCAAAAGTTCTTGGCTTCACTGGAAATCTCTTAGGAGTCCACAAAGTATTCTTAAAAGCTTTGGAAATCCCTTGAGGGGGAGGAGAGCAGAATATACACGAGCAATGTTAAAGGTTGTAGAAATACCAGTCTGTGTGTTAGTATCTTCTATTTCTGATGCCTATTTTATTATGGATAAGGAACTTTACTCTTACTGCGTGCCACCTTATAAAACCACATTTGAAAAGTTTCTGCCTTCCCCATTTTGGGGAATGCTGCTAGTATGCAGAATTTTCAGGTATGAATGAGAGCTGCGCACAATTATAAAAATGCTTTGTAAAACTTAAGTCAGTGAGTATCTTCCCCAGTACCATTTCCTACACACCTTTCAGTTCCATTGCTCAGATTGAGTGTCAGCCTCTAAAAAGAAAGTAGATGCTGAGGCTATTGATTCAATTTTAAAAATTTGTTCTTTTTTTAAGAGAATATTTTAAATTTATTTAGATTAATTTCTATGGGTTTCTCAAAGGATATATTAACAGAATTTAAAACTATTCTATTAAGAATAGTTAATTTAATAGTTAATTAACTGTTAATAATAACAGTTAATAAGAATATTAACTGTTCTTAAATAACTTAAAAGAATGTTAGAGTATTCTAATAGAATATTAGAATATAACTGTTCTATTAAGAGATCTTTTTATGGCTTTGTAAAGAACAACATCAACAAAAAATATTCAAAGAAACCACCTCCAAGAACTCCTTTTGTGCGTTCAGATTTGTTCCTCTGAAACTACAGACAATGACATAAAATAGTTCTCAATATGCATATCCAGCTTCAAAAGTAATAACTGGAATTATAGGATGAGATTTATTCTTTTTTTTTTAGATATTGTCCTACCTATTGGTTCCATTGAAATTGTGACTAGAAATCTTGTGGGAGTCAGCGCTCAATGACGAGTGGTCTTGAGAATTCCAGCTATGTAGGTTTTGCAATTGTTTAATCAGTGGGTTTGTCATATAGAAAATACTATAAATAAATTGCATATTCAGTGATATATACACTGTTTAAAATAGTTGTTTCTTCTGCACTTTGTTCATTTGCATTAAATTAAGATCCTGTAGTTCAAAGACGTGACAGTCAGTGTCTGAATTCTCGTTCTCCTCAGTGTGCCGTGCTTCACAGAGAGATTACAGAAGTACTTCATAGTCTTTATACTTTTGATCCCTGCTCTTTCAGTCTACATCATAGTACTTTATATGTTGAAAGTTGTTGTGTTCATCATCTATTAACACTCTCTAGAATATATCAAAAATGCAATTTAAAACAGAAGAGGGATATTTTTTAATCAAACAAGGACTTATTGTCTTAGATGAGAAAGTTCAGCTCCCATCAGAATGTCATTCAAGCTGTGCAACATTAGATTACTATAATAATGTACAATGAGACGTTGTTTTGTCTGGTGTTAGTGCTGCCAGTACGAGCCACATGGCATTTCTTTCTCCGATACAAGTCAGATAGGTGACAACTAAGAGGAGACAAAGTTTGGAATCTCCCATTTTCTGAGGTCTTCTGAACATCTTTTCATGTTCTTATCTCTGCTTTGTCACTGCACTTGAGTGGTTTCTTCCACCACTTTTGATGGAATTATAGGGTGGAAGAGTGCAACACTGACCTTTTCTTGGAAAGGCTGTTATCTCCAAAGCATTTAAGCTTTAAAAAAGGAAGAAGTTTTCTGAAATTTTGAGTTCTTATTTAGCATTATACCAATATGGCTTCTCAATAAATGTCCAATCACTACTGGGCATATCAGTGATAGCAAACAGATTCCTTTTACTTATTTTAAAGGAGAAAATTGCATGATTTTTGGGCAGGAAAATGCAGATGTGACAAATGTGTGGTGTCTCTTTAGGTAATACTTGCAATAAAGTTATTCTTTCAAAAACAAAAGCCTTTCTAGAATTGTATTTCTACTCAAAACATTGCTGAGAAATACTTCTTTTAACACTAAATTTGCAGTAACCAGCTTGCAGGCTGAACATAACCATTACAGCCCAGCATAGTAATTACTTAATTGAACAACTGAGCTATGCATAGTTAGTGCATCCAAAAATGCAGTGTTAAAGATTTATGCTTCTGCTTCCTCATGGAGTAAGGGATTACAATTGTTCTTATAAGTTATTTTAAAGGACAGAATTATTAATTTTAATTAATTAAAAGAGGAATTAATTTGTGTGTTTCTCGTTAGTGCAGCGTTATTGTCATATCTCAGAAAAGAACTGGAGAGGAATGTTCTCTGTCAAATTATTCAACATTTATTTCACTCAAATGCATATTGAACAATCCAAGATCACAACAGGCAGATGTAGAAATCTGCTTCAAGATGCTGTCTTTCCAGAGATATTTAAGTCTTTTGTCAGAATAATGGTGGGACCATTTTTTATGCTGTAAAAATTCCAAAAGAAAAAAATACGGAGTAGCCTGCAGCTGAGGGAAAGGCTTCTTGGGCTTCAGTACCTCAGCTTATTCCAAATATTTTCTTGAGTGCTTGTCAGTGGCATTAGTTTTTATTTGTCATCATAGCTGTTCCAGGACATCTGAGGAAAGCATATATCAGAATAACTCTCTGCCTGGATGATAGCTAAGGTAAAGAAGATTGGGATTCAAAATGCAACAGCAAAGGCAAATATTTGTAGTTTTGTTTGGTAATTGCTGGTTTTGTGTTTATTAGAGTGCAGGTTGGTACTCTGCAGTATTACGTGTTTCTTGTCCTGAATGTCAGATAGGTCACAGAAACAAGAATTTATCACCTGTTCATGTCTTCTGTGGTTTGAGTTGCAGATGTAAAACATCAGCATTTCATGGTTTTGAATTTATTGGTTTATTTCGCAAACTGTGAACTTATTTCAATCCAGAAATGAATGGGAAAGGGAAAGGAAATTATATGTGCTGTTTGAAAGGATCGTTTTCAGAGGTTTACTCGTTGCTGAGTATTGGAGAAAGAAATGCCTGCCTATGCTACAATTATTTTGGGGAGTGTGCCAGGCAAGATATTCTTGTCATAATTAATCTTCATGCAAATACTCTGAAAATAGTATGAAGTGAAAAATTACCGATTTATCCCATCTCTGCTAAAAAAGGAGCCCCTGTGTGAACAGTGAACACTAGCAGATAAGCTTATGGAGATCCCATGCAATGGTGCAGCTCTGCAGTGACTAAATTTTAGCATTTGTCCAGTTTCCACATGTTCTTCAGCTTCTGTTCAAGAGAAATACTGATGATGATATTGAAAATATTTCATGGAACTTTATCCCTCCCTGACTCTCAGTAGTGCAATCTGTCAAATAACACACAGACTTTAAATGAGGAAAAGCAGTTGTACTATGGACTTTTCAGCCAGTTTACTGAAATGGTTAGCAAGTTATAATAGACATAGTTCCCAAAATAATATTTTTTCATAAAAACTCAGCTAGGAAATATTTCTCTATTTTGAATTCGATTCTCTACAGGCTTTATTAGGCTCTGTCACTTGGAATAAGTTACAGTCAGGTTAATTTTAAGGTCTGCCTTGAATAACAGTATAAATGAAGTAATCCTTCACCTGAAGGCAGTTGACATGAAAGGAGGTAAAGCTTCTGCTGTTCTCCTACCAATGAGCTCAGAAGTGCTGTCTTTAATAAAAGCCTAATATTAAGACATGAATGAGATAATATCCATAATAGTGTACAAAATACTTGCTTTTAAAAATAGTGATAAGTCATATTTCAGTGCTAAGAAATGAAATAATTGTGTTCTTTGTGGTTTTTTTTCCCTAAATACATTCCTTAAATGTTTGCTAGGGCTTAGTGTTGAAACTGGCTGCCTTTAGCTATCTGACCACACAGAAAAATGTCAGCTCTTTCTAAGGGTAAAAAGAACATATGGAGGGGAGGGAGAGGGAGGAAAAAGAAAGAAAATGGACCTACATAATGAACAAATAGATTACTTTCTGCCCAGTAGAGGTTAGATTGAAAGTCGAATCTGAAGGTTACTTGGTAAGAGCATCAGAGCATTTAAAGACACTGCTTATACTGCAGCAGACCCAATTAGTCTGTGAAAGAGGCAAGGGATGAGGCAGATGCTAATTTTTACATTAGATTATACTAGTTAAAGTCTCTTTTGCATGCAGGTGGTCTGCCTCTGCTAGGAAAAGATTAGGTTATTTATTTATTTTCTCTCAAGTGGGCTTTTAGAATAAGGCTCTCCAATCCGGGCCATCTCCTGGTCCCACGTGACAGTTTGTAGCTTTTCAGCCACAGTTTTTGATATATGTCATTAATCATGTTCCTGCTTGTTTCTGTATTTTATTATGGGAATGAATGCTGGTAGCTGCTCATTATTTAATATACCTGTTGTGCAGCTCGATAACTCCTAAATGATTAGGTCAAAACCCATGGTGACTGACACACACAATAAAATGTTGAAGAGCCTACACAAGATCAGGTCTTAAACTGATTTCAAGGAGACCAAAATAAAGACATCTATGTAGCTATATGCATGATCTTCAGCACTCATGACTGGTAACACTGCGACATGGATTTGGTGTCAAGTAGTCACTTGTCAGCTTCTGTTTCTTGGATGTTAAGGGTAAAATTTTTGTGCTTAACCAGAAAAGTATCTAGTCATTTCAAACATACTCATGGCCCCTTTTACTCTCACGCTCTTAAGCTAACACTGCTTTAAGGTAGGTAATATTCTTACCAGGTTTCTTGCTGGAAAACTGTGAAAGTTAGGATATGGTTTAAATTTTCTCTCCACCAATTATAAGACTGTATTAACTTGGTCCTGTAAATTTTGCAGTCAATGTGTTTGGATTGGGTTAGCAAAATTATTTTCTTGCTGGTTTAGTTCAACCCAATGTGCAATAGAAAAAGTCTGTATAGGTGGCACCATTACATGTAGCGTGGAAAAAAATCCCATTACTGAGAAGAAAAGGAAAAAGAAGAAAAAAAAAAACACGCTACAAAATGTTTGGACTATAAGATGTGAAGATCTAACATTACATTGTTCTAATAAGGGGCGGGGGGAAAGTATTGGAGGTGTTTCTTCTTGTCCAGACAAAAAAGAAGGAAAGAAAGAAACAAACCCTGACCACTAGAAAGCATACTACAGTTAAGAAAAAGTGAGGAAACTGTATGGTATCGACAGAGAGAAATTTGCAGTCATTCTATTTAAGGATCCAGATTTAGTGGCATTTTAGGGTAAGTGGCCTTTCATGGTCCTATGCTTTTTTTGTTCTTTCTTTCTGGACTTGTTCTTATCCAATATTTTAAAATCCTGACAATTAGTTTCAGTTGCTGTCAGCTGTGCATTGAGGAACTCTATTAAATGTTAGCCTTATCTTCTGTGAGTCAGGGTAGTTTAAAGATATCCTTAACCCGATGGTTAGAAGTGGCAGACAGGGGATGTGAAGGCTAGATTATTTGCACACTGATGGCCAATTGTTCCCTATTCATTTATGAAACTCCTGTGCTCACTGATTTCAGAGCACACTTCAGTAGGAGCTGCCCTGTTGAAGTTGGAACACCTCATCAAATCCCTAAAATTCCTATAGAAGGCAAAAGCATTAATGAAAGATACACAGAGGCTTAAACAGAAGTTAATGGTGTTGAAAAAATATTTGTTGAGCAAACTAATGAAGACATGGCTTTCAAATTTGGATGTTAAAAGTTGTGGTTAATCAATTGTGTATCTGGAGGTGCTATTATTCAGCTTGTAAGGAGATGTAAGCTGGGTTTTTCAAAGAGCTGTTGTTGTAGCCCATGCATTTTCTCTCAGTGACTCAGTTTTCTTTTGTTCCAGAGAGAGACCTTTTTGGAGCAGAACCTTTTGACCCTTTTAGCTGTGGAGCAGGAGATTTCCCTCCAGACATTCAGTCCAAACTAGATGAGATGCAGGTAACTACTGGTTTATCAATTATGAAGTTTTTTCTATGGCTGCATGAATGTTCTTGAAATAAATATTTACAGTATTCTGAAAACGTATTCCAGACTGCACACACAAAACCTCCCACCTATTCCTGACTATTCTTTTTGTAAGTATGTCTCATGGTCTTTGAGTTGGAGTTTGAATTTGTCTGCCTGAAGATCCTTACAAATGTTAGCCTATGGTATTAATACAGACGCCTGCACTGATTTGGGGTTTATCAGCAATGCAATAAAAATGGATGCTGCTTCTCTTGCCTGGGAAGGGACTGAGTGAGCTAACAAAGAGCTGAGGCGAGAGCCCTAGAGGTACACTAACGCTGTTACTCTTCAGTTCCAGCAGTCACCACCACTCTGCTATACCCTGATCTTGCCCTCAGTGGCATTAGTCTGGTTTTCCATAGCATTGGCACAGGCAAAGTATGTGCTTAAGAAGCCATGGCAATTTTCTGCTGCCTTTAAAAATACCTGTATTTGACTATAGCACTCTGGGACTGATTAAACTATTGAGAATTTATTCAAGAATTCTGAACTGATGTGTTTTTATCAGAAAATGTTGATTCTGAAACACTTAACAGTATTTGTTCAGTTGTTGACTTAATTTTGAAGCAGTTCTAGCAGAAAGCCTTCAGGTTTTGGAATAAATCACTGTCTTCAGTCAGACTTTCCAAACTGCTAGTTCCTTGCCAGCTTGCTTATCTGTTGGGTTTTTTTCCAGCAGCCTGCCAGTAAAATTAAAGGCTGAGAATACTGGAAACTTGAATTTCTAGGATCCTGTCTTCTCAGCAGAAAGTGTTCCCAGGGCTTCCAGTCCTCTTGCATCTCAAGAGCCCAGAAAGTCCAAGAGAGCTATCTCTCAGGTTCCTTCAGTTCCTCTCTTCCGCCTGGAGAGCAGCAGAAACATTTCAAAATGTATGAAATAAGATTTAGATACTGTTTAATTTACCGAAGTAAAATTTTTGAATTCCTGTTCATTGTGAATTTTAATTTTCCATGTCAGTTTAGGATGGTGCCACTGGCAAACTCCACTCACTGTGGAGTAAGAAATTCAGATTCTTGCTCATTTGTACTCTGGCCTATATAATTTTAGATAGCAGCTAAAAGCCAAAACTGCCTTCTCTGCAATTCGGGTAAAAATGCGTGTGTTTTGTGAGTGTTATAATGTTCTTATCAAGCGCTTTAGCACAAAACTCCAAATCTTTTAGCACCTCACATTGATGCATATCGATGTTTCCACTGGGTATAGCCCGGTTTAGGAAAAAGTATACTGTAGTATCTGTGGATACTATACAGGAAGAATCCTGTGACTGTAGCTAAGTGTCACACACTATGAGTTCTTATTACAGGTAATATTTTGGCAAAATTTTATATTGTTAGCACATAAGACTGCAAAGTGTTATCAACTCACAAACATCAGTGAATGGAACAGTAGAAATCTTTATCAAAGATTTTTGAAGTCATAAAATGAAAAACTCATATCATTGTACTCTCTTGACCTAAAAAAGCAGACAACCAATCAATAACAAAACCCCCAAAACTTAGGTCATTACTATGTCCTGTTGCAAAGAATATTGCAGTGCTTAGGTATTCCTCCCTGCGTATACATACTTTATTTTTTACAAGTCATCTGCTTTATAAACTAGTCTCATAATCAGAGTCCAGCATGCCAGTCTTAGCATAGTCTCACACTTTCACTGAAAATTAATTTGTGGATCTTTATGGAGGCACAAAACTTACTCATTAATAATCCAATTGAGAACAAGAGTAAAGCTGAGAGGTTGTGGAAAAAAAAATTACTTTGAACAGCGCAAAAAGTATGTGCAGTTATTTTACTAGATGATTGGTGCAAAATACAGATTAAAACATGTTTTTCCTAATCTCTCTTTTATCTTCTTGTGCTTTCCTGGGTGCATAGCGTCAGCGATGGTTGGTATATCATATTTTAATAATGGTATTTAAAGCTTTTACAATTGAAGTGTGCATGTGTTTGTCTGCTGGTTTTATGTGTGTATATATGTAAATATATAAAAGCTTTTAACAATTGTATTTTATATATACAACTCTAAGGGCCATTTTAATTTTGGGGGGCCTTAATTCTTAAGGTATGGAGGGCTGATTTTAGTTTTCTTTAGTCCATTTTATCAGCTGCTAATACTATGCCTTCATTTTCATTGCTGTTTGTTTTCCATGTGTACTAGTGAAATCTCCAATTTTCATCAGTGGTTTCTCATTAGTGAAATAGTTTTAGCAAAACCTTTGATACATAGATTTTTGTGTGAATACAGTCACATTAGTGAATGCATTTTTAATTTGAAAAAAATCTTTATAATCTTGTGATAAGCAAAAGATAGCTCTGCTAGAAGTCAGCAGTTGTTAGCTACATAGCCTATAAGAAGGAAGGTGAAACGGACCTGCAAAAGGTAAAACCACAGAACACATAATGTGCTCTGAGAAATCCAACATTAAGAAACACAAAAGAAAAATGTAGGCTTCTTTCTTTCTCTGGAACACAAAGTGATGGAATCTGTTGGCTTCACATTATGAAAGTCCAGCCTGAGTTTCAGTATATGCGTATTCCATTATATATACGAAGGTAAATTGTTTATGAACACATCTAATAGTTTGAAGTTATTCTGAGAGGGTATTAGATGCAGTGTATCCTGTGCTCAGAATGGCAAGCAGGATGCCTTGGCGCCAGGCAGGGACAGCCTGGTTCGAGCAGCTCAGGCCAGGCTCCATTATCCTGTTTGCTGCGTAGAGCTGTGTCAGATGCAGCAAATGTGCCTGACTCTGCAGAAAAGCTATCTCAGCACGTGTGTGTGTTGGAAGGTGATATGCAGGCAAAGTGGGAGAGGAAGGCACAGCAGAAGAGGCTTTGGAGAATAAACTCTTAAGTCGTGGGTGCTTTTCCTTTGCATCTAATAATCTGAATTTAATGAGATCAGATAAAGTTCCCTGAGCTTTGGGGGAACACATTTTTATGTTTAAACTTTAGTGAGGATCCAAATTTCACACTTAAGCTCTTTCTATTCCGTTTCTCAGTCCAATCTCTGTTGATCTTTTTGGAGAGCTCAAAACTCAAACATGTGCTGAGATGTGACTTTTACAGCTCAGGCCTCTTTCTGATGACTATCCAACCTCCTGTTTTCCCCCTCCCTTATGCTGAAACATATTTTCATCCTCTCTATTTTGACTGTATCCAGACATTATTAAAATGAATCTGTCTATTTTCCCAGAAATTTTGCAGCTAGGGGAAGTTTCCCTGGGTCATGAATCATACCAGCAACAGCTGCTATAATTTATTAAAATCTCAAGGTAGTTAATATCATAAAGCTTCCAGGAGCTGCAAGCCATTCTCCCTGCATGGCCTTAAGTAGGCTTGTCATCTTTCCATCTGAAATAAGTTATGCTCAGCCCTTTAAATTATCTTCAGAGGTGTGTAAATTTATCATTGGTTCATTGGGTTTGTGCTGACTTAAGGTCACTGCATGAAGTCCCTGTGAAGTGATAAGCGAGTTAACCTCAGAGCCATAAGAGTTGACTTTGGCAAATTTATCTTCTGATACAATGGAAGTTCTTTGTCTTTTACTGTTTTTAACTGGAATATCTCATAGATATTGTATTGTCATAGACACAAAAAAAAGTGAGAGTTTTACAGAGAGGTTGTTTTGGGGTTAGTTTTTCTAATGTAAACAAGCTTTGCTCCTCTCTTTAAGAGATCCATCATGTCCTTTAGTACGATACCATCATTTTTCTGGGTAACTAGGATAGTCAGCCCTTGTTTTAAACCACCTCGGAAGTGAAAAAGTTACTTGAAGCTGTCATCATGGAGATATGAATGCAGAAGCAAGGCACAGTATAGATGAACACTTCATAGCCCTTCCAGCACTACCAGGCGATGGCCTTTTTCTGCAAATTTGAGAGATTTTTTCTGACCACATGAGGACTTACTGTTTCCTGAACCTTTGAAGTATAGGCAGCCAATAGCACACATGTTTTCTAATGAGCAGGCAGTGTTTTCTGCTAAGAACACATGTTACTAGAAGCTGAAATATCTGAATTTCATGAGGCAGAATATTAAAAATGCTATGTATTAAAATTAATGATGCATTTATATATATATGGTATGTTATATGTACCAAGTGCTGACTTTATATGTCATTTTTAAAGAAAAAATATTCTGCCTAACACATTAATTGAGTTTATTAGAAAAAAGATAAAATTAAATCATAATTTATAATCTGCTCAGTCATTCCAACTGACTTCATTATTGTTACAGCTGCAAATGGAGGGGTTTGGAGTGGAGAGTCAAAAGTAGGCATATGCTGTATGATGGATACTGTAATACTAATCATACAGCAGCTTCAAGTAGGAGCCATAAGACTTGAGAGATGTATGCAGTTCAGGTGTATATATAAACTTTATTCCTGAAAGTGGGCATAAAGCTCAGAATTCTGCATTGCTGTGAGAACTATGCATAGGATACTTCCTCTGTGATCTGCATTAATCACAGTTCATCTGTGTCTGGACGTAAAGGAAACGCTTTTCTTAAAACCTTGTCTTTCCACAGCTTGCTTGACTAAACCTGACTGGAATTTTTTTAAATTATATCATATATTTACCAAAGCATACTTTTGGAGAATCCAGAAGTTATTTAATAATTTGGAGTTATTTTGCAAAACTTGAGGGATTAGGAATGGAGATGGCTGTGTGAGACCTGAAGTCCATGCTTTCCCTATCTTTGGAAATTTGATTGCAATGACTTTGCCAAAGAGTCTGTTGGACAAAGATGTTCTGATTTTTTTTTCTTTCCTTTTTGAGGGCTGCATTTGATTTAATGGGAATGTTGATTGAACCCATACAGCTTTCTTTGGTTTATACTGCTATACACTTCTTGTCCTCCACTTGAGGACAAGATTTTCTTCTTTAATGAAGAAAAAATCTGAATTTTCTTTCTTTTAAAATCTGAAAAATGCCCAAATGGCTATCTATATTGCCTTGATGTCCTCTTTATGATGATGGACTTTTTTGACCCTGTGGTTGCTATGGAAATTTGAGCTGACTAGTAACTGTGGTATCTGACCCTTGATTATAGTAGGGTTTTGTGTGATTTAACAGGTGAACATCGAAATGTCATGTTCGTGTTATGGACAGCTATGTGCCTGAGCCATATTTCAGTATGCATGTGTTAACACTGCAATTCCTGGCACTGTAGTAGTAGGTTTTACTTATCAATTCTGCCTGTAATAGAAGCTGGGTTCTCAAGTAGGCAACTGATAGCAGCAGGTTGCAACCACATCACCATTTTCTTCTAGAACAGACAATAGTTCATTATGGTAATAAAGTTAAAAGGCTTTTTAAATAATTCTGATATATAGAGTGCAGCAATCTCTTAATGAATTAAAATTGATCACATTGCAAATATGTGGAAATGTGATTGTTTTAAATGCAAAATATCACAGCTTAAAAGAGGAGGAGAAGTAAATGGGGAGAGAAGTGGTCTGGAGTGAAGTTGCAGAAGGAAAGGTCAAGGAGACCACTGTTCTTCAAGAAAGTAGAATTTGTTCAAAGTAAAGTTATAGCAAACACAAGCTAAGTGATAAGTGACGAAATATCAGATGTATGGCATAAAACAAAAGTAAAAATACCTCGCATGATCAATGTAGGAGCAGCGAGATGTGTGCGCTTCCAAAGTGCATAACCGGGCTTGCTCTTAGCTAGCCAGAGAAAGGCCATTGGAAGTTCAGCTGTGTACGACACCAACAAACAGTGCTTAAATGGAAGAAAGACAAGAGCATGCAGGACATGAATGAGGTGCATGTTCGGTGAAAGGGCTCTCTGGATTGCTAAGAATGAAGCTAGCTGTCCTTGTTAAACCAGTTGCCATAGCTGTTGCAGCTGTATCGAGCATCTTCAGTTTGAAGCACAAACTGTCCCTCTTACAACCTCAAAACTGGAAGCAGCCTTTTAAATACTTTAAAAGATTAGCAATTCAGACACACTGTAACTGAGGGTTTACAATTTAACAGGCTAGACTACAGGGCTAGTCCTCTGAATTCTGCCCCTTTTTAAGGAGTTCTCCTTTGACTGTAGTTCCATCAGTCACTATTATCCTTTGGGTAAATGAACAGTGTCTGTTTAGAACAGGATGTGTTTGACTTGGAACATCAGATACTGTTTGCTTGAAATATCTTTTGCATTGGATGCTCTTTCTGCTGAAAAATATAGAGCGGGGGAGGGGGGGGAAGTCAAATACACCAGTGAGCTTTGGCAGCACCATATCACCCAGGTGAGGCAGACTGAGTAGCACAGTTAAAGGTTTACACCTCAGTAGTGCTACTGGCTCATCATCTAATAGTATGGATCTGCCTTTAGGAAACTAGAGATTTTACTTTGAAAATCTCAGATCATTTAGTAACCATTGCCAGGAAGTATATTCTATTTCTCAGCAGTTTATTCTCTTTCTCAGCATTGCTCTTCTGATGGCATTAGCTGGTGGGGTTATTAAATATTCATACATTTTTAAAAGTCTAGCCTGTGGTTTTTAGATTTGTTTGAAATTAAGCTGGTTTGACTTGGGATTTATCTTTTAAAAGCAAAAGATATGCTCTTGAGATGCTGCTATGAGAAAAGGCTGGAGTTTATGCCTAATCCCAATACAGTTTGCTTTACAAAAATGTTTATTTTGTTTACAATATGTTTGCTTCATGAAAGCACATATTACTGATTTCATAGCATACAATCAGCGTTCTCTAAGTGAACTGTATGCTAAGACAACACTGAACTGAACGTTGTGACAGCTACCACTGGAGTTGATGTTCTCCTGGCATTTCTATTCAGAGCCCATGTTGCCAATTGCTTATAGCTTTACAGTACTTTCACCTAACACTGAAATATTCTCAACTCAAAGGCAACTTTTCTCTTGAAGGTCAAGCCACAATTATTCAGATTCTTTAAAAGCAAAAAGAGAAATGAAAACAAGAGCACTTTCCCTGGATTAGAAGTGCTGTTGTTATTTTAGAATTGGTGCTTATAAAAAAATGTGTGTTTCTATCAATCAAACTAATATCAGTAAAAGGAGGAATTTTGGTTTGAACTGAAGAATTTCTTCATACTTTCTAAAGACCATTGTACTTTCTTTCAGCGAGTTACATGCCTTTGAAATGCAGTTTGCTCATTTGGGATAGAACAAGTAGAATTTTATTTGCCTTTTAGTGAAGCTCAGATGACAGCTGTAAAACACACATCTGTCAATTTAACTGCACAGGGAACGATGCAGAACAAACCTCTGAGATGTGGTTGAGTACTGTACTTTTTGTTGGACTACTTCTATGATAAGGGATTACTGACACTCGTTAGTAACAGTGTCTGTGACTTACCTAAATCTTTGAAGTGTAAATATATAAACTCTTTGCTCATACAGCCCTAATCTCTCCTGCTTATATATCATGTGGAATTTTACTCAGGAACGGCATGGTGCAAGCCAAGATTGATTGTTTTTCTATCAACCTATGTGTATGATTATTCAACATTTTTATTCTATAATATTTTCTTCATTTTATATACATGCTGTATTTCTGTTGTTGTACACGATACATCCTTTTATAAGTTAGCCACTAAGACTTATTAAAAATCAGCTGACCAAATAATGTAAACATCTATGAATTCACTCTGAAATATCCTTATGGTTTATCTGCCTAAAGATAATTTAGAAAGAGAGCTTAATCTTCCAGAAATCACTTTCTTTTTTATTAACTATGTCTTTTTTCATTGCAGGAGGGGTTCAAAATGGGATTAACTCTTGAAGGCACAGTATTTTGTCTTGACCCACTAGACAGCAGGTGCTGATGCCAAGAAACTAAATGTGAAATTCCTACGCAGTGGTTTGGGGTTTTGGTTTGTTTGGTTTTTTTTAATTCTGAACACATATTCACAGATATCCATGTGCCAAAAATTGCTTTTTTCAACATGTAAACTCTTGTGAGGTTTGCTTCTGTAAAAATCCACCTTAGTTCCAGTCTTCCCCTGTACAAATGTAAAAAGTTGTATTTGTTTATGAAATATTAATGAAATTACGCTGTTGTGTTTCTTTCTCTCACATTTTGGCCCAAGTTTACTATGCTTTATGACTGTGAGCCTGGAGAAGGTCTTCAGAAAGCTCACACATACCTCTCTCTGTTTGCAGACATGCAAGCATGATTTTTACATAATACTTTACCTGACAGCATTTTGAAATTATGTTTTTAAGCCATTAGTTAATATTGAGGCAGTAAAATTATTAATATCTAGTACAAAAAGTTCAAACTATAGTGAAAAAACAGAAAATAGTAACCATTAATATATGCTTAAAAGGTAAATCTGGATGCCGTGTAATTGATTTCCATTACTGTGTATGGTTACTATGCTGTATATATGTTATTAGTTTATAGAACCCAGATTATTTTAGGTCCTTATTCATGTTTTAGAAACTAACAAAAAGTTAGTATGCTAATTAGTGTTTAGAAGAAGAACTGCTAAATTGCAGAATGGACAAAGTAACTGCCTTTTGTTTTGATATTTTATAGCTGAACTGCAAAGTATGTAATTTGGAATTCATTACATGATAACCACAATTTAAAAAGAAGATTATGGTCTTGCATTTACTTAGGAATTTCTGTAATTCTGTGTATAAGCAGGCACTCTGTGTTCACTGGGCTCAATTCTGAAAGTTACTTTCAACACCTGAGTGTTTACAGTCAGGCTCTGTTGAGTATTTTTTTCACTGTCTGCTTTAATGTTATGTGTCTTACTATAATTTTGAAGCTTACTGCAGGAATTTGATATAGATTAGTAAGTCCTTCATATCCACTGGGTGTTCATGTTACAGAAATAACTGCACAACAAAATTTTCAGTGGCTTGTGAGTTGAAAGCTGACCCATCTATGCATACTCTTCATTAATCTTCAGCATAAGCAATAAAAACCTATCTCAGAAAATTATCATTAGTGTTTTGGTGCCCAAACTCCACATTAGTTCAATTAAAAAACTTTTAAAACTCTAATACCTTCCCTTCAAAACATAGAGTTGTGGGGGGAAAAAAAACAAACCTTCAGAATTTAAAAAAAAAATTTTTTTTCCTTTTTCATGAGAGACTTTTTGTGATACTTATAGTTTTGTCTTTAGCGGTTTCAGTTTGCACCAAAAATGCATTTTGCAAATTCATCATCACGTGTATCTTTATGCCTTGTTCAACAAAGTACTTCTGCGTATGCCTTTGAAGTTGGCTGAAATGAATGGGATTGTTCCTTTGCTGAGTGTGACATATGCTCAGGTACCTTGCTGAATGGGGGCCTTAATGTCCTATATATTACATTAGTCTTCCTCTCTCTTTGTTCAACATTCATATAGAGT